GTTCTGAATTGATCCAATGCAATGTTATCTCAGAATCAGTCAACATATATATCGGATGATGTTCATATTCCAAATCCTTTCTTACCTTTACTACCAATTGTGCTCCTAGTAAAGCCGCACATAACTCAAATCTTGGTATTGTCTGCGTTTTTAGTGGAGCGACGCGTGATTTTGAACAAAGTAACTGAACTGAGATAGTTCGATCAGTCATTTCGGCTCTGATGTAAATGGCAGCTCCATAGGCCCTTTCGGAGGCATCAGTAAATACATGAATCTGAGTATTCCTTGGTTGTTTATGATGAAATATATGTCGTGGAATCTTCACATTGTTTATTTCACATAAGCTCTGACGAAAATGGGTCCATTGAGTATGCATTTCAGCAGGCAGAGCTTCATCCCACGAAAGTTTTAACTGCCACAATCTTTGAACAAATATTTTCGCCTTCACTACTACGGGAGCCATTAATCCCAGTGGATCAAAAATGTGCGCCAACTAGGAACTTACGGTCCTCTTTGTTATTTTGCTGTGTATAGGTCCGTTAGTTTTTATTGAAAACTGATCAGATTTTGGTAGCCAGATAAGGCCTAGAGTTTTTACTGTCTTATGTGACTCACTGCTGACATCGAGATCAACTTCTTGATCTTCTGGAGCGAGTCCTTGAAGTAATTGGGCATTATTTGCGCACCACTTGCGAGGTTTGAAACCAGCTGTCGCCAATATTTTAATAAGTTGATCCTTTGTTGCAATTGCCTCCATGAGACTGTCTGAGCCACTTAAACCGTCATCGACATAAAAATCCTTGCTGAGTGTAGCGGAACCAAGCGGAAATTTAACGGCATGCTCTCTGGCCAGGGTTTGTAGACAGTTAGTTGCCAGATACGGCGCTGCTCTTGTGCCATACGTTACCGTTTTTAATATGTAATAGCACAAGTTTTCTTCTGGTGACTCTCGCCAGATAATGATTTGAAGATATTCATCTCTTGGATCAATTAGTATCTGCCGATACATCTTTTCAATATCTGTTTTAAAAACGAAGCGTGGTTTCCTGAAACGCAGTAAAATGGATGAGAGTTCGTTCTGCACGACTGGACCATTATGCATAATATCATTGAGTGAGACTCCGGTTGATGTTCTTGCAGATGCATCAAACACCACTCGAAGCTTTGTTGTAGTACTATCTGCCTTGATTACACAATGATGTGGCAAAATGTAATGTGGATGCATTATATCATCCTGATTGATTTTTTCCATGTGGCCGAGATGCTCGTACTCTCGCATGAAGTCAACGTACATCTTCTTTAGTTCAGAATTCTTCAACAGCCGACGTTCAAGACTAAAAAACCGATTCATCGACATCTGCATGGATTCACCAAGAACAGTTGTATCCTCCTTAAATGGTAGTTTCACGACAAATCGCCCTTCATGATTGTGGTGAGTGTTTTGAGCAAAAGATTCTTCACATTTCTTCTCTGCATCAGTGAATTTGTCATCCGTTTGATTGATTTCCTCCAATTGCCAGAATTTAGTAAGTATATTATCCAATGCTTCGTCGTCAGCTTCGCTGCACATGCCACAGGTAAGTAACTTTTGATTACCGTTGCTAACTTTGCCACTGCATATCCATCCGAAAACCGTGTTCTGAAGTGCAGGTAGACCCTCACCTATTTTGATTTGACCAATCGATAAAAAGCTGTGATAGAATTCTGCTCCAATTAATAAGTCAATTTGATTTGGATTCGCGAAGTCTGGATCAGCCAATTTTATATTCTGAGGAATTGACCAACCAGAAGTGTCCAGACACTGTGTTGGTTGGGCTGAGATAATTCGAGGCATCACGAATGCGTTGATTTTTACATTGAAATCATTAATTCGAGACTGAATTTTTGTTGTCACACTGTATTTTGTGTCCCTTTTGCTTCTACCAATTCCTTCTATCCATAACGGTGATGAGTGTAACTGCAATTTTAATTTTCTTGCCAGTTTTTCTGTGATTAAGTTTATTTGTGATCCAGAATCGAGTATTGCTCTGCACTCGATGAAATCACCATCAAACGTAGCTATTTTCATATTAACTGTACTAAGAAGAACGTATCCCTTATTTTGTGTTAATGCTGTGATTACAGTAGAAGGTTGATGACCGGGTTTCTCAACCAATGAATCTGATTTGACATTGATCGATTTGTGTGTTGTCTTGGAAGACTCTGATAAGTGCAACAACGAATTGTGGTTCTTGCTGCACTTGTTGCACCGGGAACTTTTGCATTCTGCTGCCCTATGGCCTGTACGTAAGCAGTTCAAGCACAGTCTAAGTTTTTGTACTGTCTTGATACGACCTTGTGGTGTTGATTGCAAGAATGTTTTGCAATAATATATCGGATGTGATCCATTATTACAGATCTTACAGGTTGATATATTTGCCTTTCCCATCGTTGTGGCAAGGGTTTTTGCTAAGCATGGCTTCTCCCTATGGCCAATCGCCTCTAAGGACTGGAATCGTGATTCCAGGAAAATCATGAACTCCTTAATCGACTGAATCTCTCTTGGATGAGTCAGCGACTGTTCATACAAAATGCGAGTCTGCTTATCTAGTTTGAGGAGCAAACTATGAAGCAGTAACGGCGACCACGAATCAGTTTCGAGTCCCACATTCTTCAGTGCCAGCAATCCTTCAAAAGTAACATCATGGAGTGTCCTTATTTCTGTCGCTGAAGGATTGGTTGATATTATTGGTTGATTTAGAATTCTTTGAATGATTGTTGCTACAATAATTCTTTTGTTGTGATATCGTTCTTGTAGCAAATTCCATGCCGTTTGATAATTCTCGTTGGTTATTGACAGGTGTCGGACTAAGCCTTCTGCTTCTCCTGTTAAACTACCTTTGAGATACCACATTTTCTGAGCGTTAGAAAGCTGCTGCTTGTGAATCATTTCGGTGAACAAATCATAGAATTGACACCACTTCAAATAATCGCCATCGAATTTTGGTATTGTTACCTTAGGCAGTGATACACCAGCGCTGTCTGGTTTACTGCTTCCTTGTTGTGATTGTTCATCATTTGCTTTCTTTGAAGCTAACGAAATTAAAGTTGACTGAACCAATTCTTCCATTTCGAGGTACTCATCGAGTTTATATCCCACTGTAGTCGGATTGTTGGTGTACTCCCAAATTTCAAAATTAATGGCTTCAATCTCGTTCCATAGCTTCTCAATTCTTGCCATATTCACTTCATAAAAGGATTTCATCTGAACGCCTGTTTGACGATTGATGCCTGCTATGAGTCGCTTCAGTGATACACAAATTGCACCTTGCTTGTGTATCATTCGTGTTATACTCGTGCTATATTGTCCTTCCCTCGGTGACGGCATCGGTTGACGTGCTGTCGTTGCTGACTCCTTTGAGGAAGGTGTTGGAGGTATTTTGGTTGATAATTCATTTTCGAAAATCTGCTCATATTTTTCAAATAATTCTTTGATTTCTTGAAAGTAGTTGCTGGTAAAATATGCAACGCTCGTATCCAAATCTGGCAAATTCCTGATTTGTGTGTCGTTATGGTCAAATTGTTCCCATAATTCGTTGAGTCGCCTAATACGCTCTTCATAGTAGCGAGGGGATGTCTTCCTCTCTTTTGAGTCCTTTTTGAAGTTAGTGATCAGTTGTTGGATTTGTTTTCCCAATTCTGCTTGTTTGGCAATCAATTCTGCCATGACTTCCATGGTTGTAAATACAGCAATAATACCCTTCTGAGCAGGTTCACTGGATTGATGATAACGTGGTCCTTCTGAGCAGGTTCACTGGATTGATGAAAACGTGATCCTTACGGTGAATCACGTCGGGGTCACCAAAAATGTTCAATAAGGCGTTTCTTATTGAAACTGAATCGACACTTGAATCGATTCAGTGTTACTTATGGTTAGGAATCTGGCACTTGAACCAGTTCCTATTGCAAGGTCTGAATTTGGCACTTAAACCAACTTCAGGTGGATTCAAACAATAACAATATTTTTTGAGCAACTAGGCACTTGAACCTATTTGCAATTGAGTTTTAATAAGCACTTGAACTAATTAAAACGCAAGGGCTGTTCTGTATTGAATGAATGAATTTATTACAAAATATTGTGTTTTTATACAAAATGCTTAACACTAAGCTTATGGTAAAAGAGCAAATGCACCTAGTTCCCACGATTTGTTATCCGATGGACTTTGAACATTCAAGGCCAAGGGCACTCGTGGAAAATATGTGCATTTCCTATGCTTATACAATTTGATGCAGTCAGCAAGCTGGTATATGTATTTTGCCATATACCAACTTGCTTCACAAATTTGGTGACTTAAATGTGTTATCACTTGTGCCATGCGCCAACTCTTATTGCACCTGTGGGAACAACAGAATTGTCGCAGCGGCTTGCCTATTGCTGCAACTCACAACGAACACACGATCAAAGAAAACGAACATGATGCCTATCAACCTTGCACAGTGGCGTGTGAAGATCATCATGTTACGTCTGGCACGCTGATAGCGTGCGAATATTTAGTTGTGAGAGCCAGCAACATTGCTAAAATATTTGATAACACAATTAAACCCAACAACCAAAACAACATAAGACACTAATTTAAAATACTTATTTATACATATACTGAATACAATAATACAAATAATACAAATATTAATACAAATACAATGCAAATAATTATTTTAATTGATATTTATTTATACTAAAAATTAATATAAGCTTAACATTTATGTCCAAATTGGACAGGGCCGTTTCTGTCGACTGTCCTGCCCTATAGGCATGTTGGCGACTGTATAGTGGAGTTACTTTCAGTGTAGTATTCTTGATATAGTTATCCACAATTTTTTCTACCACTTTAAGTAGGAAGGATGTGAGGCAGATTGGTCTGAAGGATTTCGGGTGAGTAGGATCTCTTTTGCCCGCCTTCGGAATAAAGACCACTTTTGCCCTCCTCCACATGTTTGGTATATATCCCAATGCAATACTGACTCTGGCTATTCTAGTTATTGGACCTAGTAGCTGTTCAATTCCTTTTTGAAGTAATGCCGGAAAGACACCATAAGTACCTGGAGATTTCAGTGGCTTGAGCGAATTTATCGCCCACCTGATTTTAGGCATTGTGATTATATTTTTGGCAAATTTCCAATCATCCTTCTTTATTGTTTTAGGGGGTTCAATGTGTTCTGATTCCGTCCCTAGAGTTGGAGAGGATCCTGGGAAGTGTCTTCGGTGAAACTTCCATCTTCTCGCTTGAGATTTGTGGAGGTGAGACTGCTGCTTTTTGCAAGTATTTTGTAGAGTCTTGATACCTCCGTAGTGCTTTCTATGCTTTCGCAGAATTTTTGAAAGCTTTTGCGTTTAGAGGCCCTAATTTCTCTATTGTACAAAGTAAGTTTTTTCCTATATTCTGAACAGTCTCCTGTTCGCTTTGAGTAGTTAAAAAGTCCTCTAACAGTGTTTCTTAGGTTTTTAAGGTCATTGTTCCACCAAGGCACATCCTGGTGGAGTTAATCAGGCTTAATGGACAGCTATCCTCATATGCATTTAGTATGGCACCATTGAGGTTTTCTAGGTAATTTTCTAATTGAATTACATTCTGAATGATTTCATCTAGCCCTAATTGGACAAGATTGTATTTCAGATTTTTCGTGTAGTTCTCCCAATTTGTTTTTCTTGGGTTCCTTAAAATTTTCTTGTTAATTGGTGAACCTTCAATGTCGAACCTTAGAATTCTATGATCAGACATAGATGGTTCACTGGAAACTCTCCAGTTTTTCACAAGCTCACAACCTCGAGTATTTCCTATAGTAATATCTAGGACCTCTTTGCGTGAGATAGTTACAAATGTTGGTGTATTAGCTACATGACATATTTCTAATTTTTTATTAGTTATAAATTCTAAAAGGTACTCACCTCTTATATTGGTGTTAGTGCTTCCCCAAACTTCGTTGTGTGCGTTGGAGTCGCAACCGAGTATAAGTGGCAATTTCATTCTCTCGCAGTAGTTTACCAGTTTATCGACCTCTGCAGATGGTACTTGAGTGTCGTCTCCTGGTAGATAACCTGTAGCTACGACTACGTTCCGTAGAACTCCGTTGATGTTAGCCGGAATCTGTATGGCACGAAATCCCTGGAGAGAAATTCTGAAAAACAGATAAAGTTGATATTAATATTCAATAAAATGCAGGTTCTTGGTTTATCACATCTTACATCCCAAATTGTTTGCATATTCCTTGCAGTCAAACCACAGATTCGACCCCTATAAATCCAGGGTTCTTGGACCAGCACTATGCTCAGGTTCGATTTCAGCGTAGCCCTTGCAATAACTGCCGACGCAGCTTTTGCATGGTGGATATTTATTTGGGCGATTCTAGTGCTGGTCATCAGGTGGCTATTCCTCCTTCGTTTCTTCTATCAGACCGTCGTCGATGTCTGACAGAAAGATTCTTTCGGAGTCTTCCTCGGACACCAAGTTCAGTAGAGAGAGATCTAGATTCTCAATGTCCTCACTCTCGTGAGGCAGCACGCTGATATCTTCAATCTTCTCGCTCCTGGTCGCCTCCTCCTCCACTAGTTCCGCAACAGTTGCAGGTATCGTTCCTACAGCTGGTGTATTTTCCCCAGCTGAGTTACTTTTTTCCTTGTTGTCTCGTCTCTTATGCAGGTGAATTGGGACGGAACTGAACCTGTAGAAGATCCTACCGCCGTTGGTTGTTATGGCTTCCTGAAACCGGTTGTCAATCCCGATTGTTAGGAGTTTGCCATTTTTTAGATCCTTGCTGCTAAAAACTCTCCACAGCTGAATATGTAGACCCTCATTTTGAGTTATGAGCAGTTTTAGCAGCTTTTCCGTGTCGACCCCTTGTGGAGGTTTCTCATTCCCTTTTCTTTTCTTAGCTGATTGAAGATCGATCGGACTAATTTCTTGGGCAGACCTCTACTTAGAGTCTTGATTGCCACTCGGCCGATTGAGCGCCTTTTCCTTGGCTGCCTCCGGTGCTAAGCCTTCTTTGAGATAGCGCAGGTACCATTTTGTACCCGCACCGCTCAAACCATTAGATTTCCTGGCGTCGCGAAAGTTTTGGCCGGAGGTTAGTCCAGTGCTTGTCGAGGGCTGTGGTAGTGTTTCGATCGTTGCATCTTTTGGTGCAACCTTTAAACCCAGTTCCTTGACTTCCTTTTCGTAACGAAGGTTCCGTTTTTGATTCAGTTGGCAGAGAGCTAGTATTGTTCCTAGCTTCTTTGCCCTCAGTAGTTTTCTCCGCTTTCCGTTTTGGAAAGGCTGCCTGGCGATCGGTATGTTGGATATCAGACTCCGACCGATTTACCAGTTTATTTGCAGTGTGTGTTCCTACTGGTTTTTTTATATTGCTTTTATTGTTATTCAAATTATGTTCCACTAAATTCCCACGAGTGTGGGGGAAAGGAGGTCCGCCGTGTCATAGCCCCCGATAACACTGTAAGCCCACAGTTACTCAATGAGGCGGGCAGGTATCATTGAGGTGCGACGCTAGAATACAGTCTGTTACCCCCCACTGCAAACAAGTCCGATGAACACGTGCAAATTCAAAAACAAATTTTTCTGCTTTTCTGATAAGAACTTTCTCATGTTCATCATCAATATGGAAAATGGTTTGCATTTTGGCTTTGTTACAAATAAGAGCACTTTATCAGAATGCAATCAGTGATTGCAATATTTTTTACAAATGTATCGATAGAGCAGGCTAAAATTAGTACATTTTGAAATTAATTTTATCAAATTTGTTAATCGAATAAGATATATAATATTATATATCAATCGTCTTAGAAAAAATTCTAGTTTTTTTATTTAAATAACTAGGTGACCCTGCGAACTTCGTACCGCGTAACAGTCAATAAATGTTATATTAAATTATAGGTAAACTAAATTTAGAAATTTATTAACGTAATAAAATGAATACAAAAAATTTATTGTATTCAATAGTTTATTAGGATAATGATATATAATTAATTATTTTAATGGTCTGTCAGCAAGAACCTATGGGTTGCACTCCGATTGATTCTCTTCAATAAAGAACCTTGTGATATACGATATTTTTTTTTATCAGGCGCAAGAACAAATAAAGCAGATGGTTTGCCTACTCGTGAACATGCCACGTACAATTGACCATGAGAAGAGCATGCATTTTCTAGATTCAGACTACAAACACTTAAGGATTGGCCTTGTGATTTATTTATAGTCACAACGAATGCAAGCCGAATAGGAAATTGAATTCGTTTAAACTCAAAGGGCATATCGATTGAGATCATTGGAATCCTCGGAATGAGAACTTCATCACTTTTGAATTTTCCTTTGAGTATCATTGCGTGAATCACATTAGCCATCAGTTTTGTTATCACTAAACGCGTTCCATTGCATAGTTTTGGTTGGTTTAGATTTCGAAGCATAATGACTACCGAACCAATCTTTAATTGTAAATTGTGTGGTGGTAAGCCAGGCACATCCAAGGAGTTCAAAAATTCAGTTGGATAGTTGGTAGCTTCTTCTTCGTTTGTTACACAGTCAATTGATTTGAATGTATGCAGAGTACCAACGATTTGATTTTGAATTACAAAGCTTAAGTCATTCACATCTTTGTTCTTAGCTGCCAAAATTGCTCGCTCACTCAACCATTTTTTGTTTTTATGATTATCAATGATGTTCGGAAATACTTCATTGATGA